AGGTTCACGGAGGCGAGAATGAATGTGGGATCCTTGGGTGCTAAGACTGGAAATTCTGTGACTGTATGATAGTGCATGGAGTATAGCCAAGTCTCTGGACAATCACTATATCTGACTCCAGAGGCTCAGAGTTGCCTGTGTGCCTGGGGTGGGTCTTTGCAGAGGGTTATGGCCCACAGTGAGGACTGTGCAGCTCTTTTGTGTGGTTCATGCACCTGTGTGGGTGGATGTTTAACCATGTGGGCTAACCCCAGGCATTGATCACTATGACAGAGACAATTGAGGATAACTACAATGCCCAACTTGGGTGCCCCTTTGGACTCTTCCTCACCCTTGAGCACTGACCATAGTTCCCTGACTCCACCTAGTACATGCCTCTGGTTATCCACTGAAGGAAGAGATATTCCACTAAGCCACAGAGGCATAGTTCAAAGACAAAAGCCAAAGTCATCAGAGGAGAAAACCAACAAATATTCCCACAAAAGCCTAAAAATGAACACAGAAATATAAGAAACTTCAACAAAGAACAAAATATGATTCCTGAAAAGGAACACAACACTTCAATAATAGATGTGAAGATGGATTAATGAAATGCCTGAAAAAGCAATTCAAAATAATGATCATAATAATGATTATAATACTACTCACAAAGAGAAACAAATACATGAGATAAAGAAATCCATACATGACATAGATGAAAACTTTTGCTGAGAGAAATATTGAAGAGCAGTCAAACTGAAACATTAGAAATGAAGGATTCAATATTTCATATAGAAAATACAGTAGAAAGCCTCAACACCAGACTTGGTGAGGCAGAAGAAATAATATCTGAGCTAGAAGACAAATCCTTGGAAATACCTCAAAAAAAATAAAAATATTAGAAAAACTTAAAGTATTGTTTGAGACTTATGAGATACTACCAAATGACCAAATATACATATCTTAGGAGTTCCTAAAGGTGTGGAAGGAGAAAATGGATTAGAAGGCCTATTCAGTGCAATAATAGCAGAAAACATTCCTAACTTGAAGACAGGGACATCCAAGTACAGGCAACACACAGAACTACTAATAGACATGACCAGAAAAGACCTTCACCAAGACACACTGCAGTCAAAATTTTTCTATGTTAAAAGATAGAAAAATTCTAAAATGTGCATGAGAGAAACACCAAATTACCTTCAGAAGATACACAATTAGACTAACACATGTTCTCATCAGAAATACTAGAGGCTAGAAGAGAATGGAGAGACATAGTACAAATCCTAAAAGAACAAAAACATCTATAGAGAATGCTGTACCCTGCAAAGTTCTCATTTATAAATGAAGGTGGAATAAAGTCCTTCCAAAATAAACAGAAATTTAAAGAAATTGTCACAACTCATTCAACTTTACAAATGATACTTAAGGATGTGCTACACAGAGAAATAGAAAATGATAGTAATCATTATGAAATAATTTAAGGCAAAAAATATCCAACTAGAAGTTCAAAGGAAATCCAAAATAAATAATAGAAATATTTAGGGGGAAATTGCAGGATCAGGTTGTTATTTATAAATAATAACCTTGAATGTAAAAGACCTAAATTCTGCAATTAAAAGATACAGACAGACTGAATGAATTAAAACAAGACCCATGTATTTGCTATCTACAAGAAACATATCTCACCAACAAAGATACACACAGCCTAAAAGTGACAGGATGGAAAAAATTTGTTCATGCTAATAGAAAGCAAAAGTGAGCAGGTGTAGCCATCCAAATATCAGACAAAATAGACTTTATCACAAAAAATATTAGAAGATTCAAAGAAGAGCATTATGTGATGATTAAGAGATCAATTCAACAGGAAGATGTGACTATAGTAAATGCATATGCACTTAATGCCAGGACACCTGGCTATTTAAAATAAATGTGAATGGTTTAAAGGGAGGCATAGACTCCAACACAATAATAATGGGGGACTTCAAAACCCCACTTTCATCAATGGAGAAAGAAGCTAAACAGAATCAACAAAGAAATAACAGGGATAATCCACACTATGGACCAAATGGACCTAACTGGTACCTGTAGAACATTTTATCCCACAATTGCAGAACACACATTCTTTTCATTAGTGCATGGACGTTTCTCTAGGGTAGCACATATGCTAGGTGTTAAAGCAAGTTTCAACAAAATAAAAAAATGAACTCATGTATGCATCTTCTCTGACCACAATGGAATGAAGCTGGAAATTAACAATTTAAGAAACTCGAGAAAATGCAAACACATGGAGACTAAACAACATGCTCCTGAATGAATAGTGGATCATAGAAGAAATCAAAAGAGAAATCAAAAACTTTCTGGATGCAAATGAAAGTGACAACATAACATATCAAAATATGTGGATATAGCAGAAGCAGTGTTAAGAGGAAAGATTATAGCAATTAGTGCCTATATCAAGAAATTGGAAAGGTAGCAAATAAATGAACCAACAATGCATCTGAAGGACCTACAAAAACAAATACAAACTAAACCCTAAATTAGTAGGAGGAGAGAAATAATTAAAAATTAGATAAGAAATAAACAAAGTTGAAACAAAAAATGATACAAAAGATCACTGAAATGCAGAAATGGTTTATGGAAAAAATAAAACTGATATACCAATGGCCCAACTAACAAAAATTAGAGAAGACTCGAATTAATAAAATCAGATATGAAAGAGGAGAAGTTAAAAGAGATAACACTGAAATAAAAAGAATCATCAGAAATTACTACAAATAGTTATATGCCATAAATTGAAAAATCTAGAAGAAATGGATACATTTCTGAACATATGCAATCAACAAAAATTGAGTCACGAAGACAGAAAACATAAACAGACCAATAACCAAGATGGAGATTGAATCAATAATAAAGACCATCCCCACAAAGAAAAACCCAGGACTGATGGCTTCACTGCTGGATTCTACCAGACTTTTAAAGAAGAAGTAATTCCAATTCTTCTCAAACTATTCAAAACCATTGAAAGGGAGGGCATCATCCCAAACTACTTCTTTGAGGCCAATATCACCTTAATCCCCAATCATAAAAAAAAAATACAAAAAAGAGAGAATTACAGACCAATATTCTTGATGAACATGGATGCAGAAATCCTCAACAAAATATTAGCTAATTGAATTCAACACATCAGAAAGATCATTTTCCTGGACCAAGTGAGATTTACCTCTGGTATGCAGGTGAAGTTCAACATATGCAAATCAATAAATGTGATCTATCACATTAACAAATTAAAGAATAAAATTCATGTGATTATCTCAGTAGATACAGAGAAAGCATCTGATGAAATACAACAATCTTTCATGATAAAAACTTTTTAAAAATTGGGTATTGAAGTATTATTTCTTAACACAATCAAGGCAGTATATGACAAACCATATGACTCAGCCATTCCACTCCTGGAAATCTACTGATATGAAATGAAATCAGCATATGAAATAGTTATCTGTACCCATGTTTGTCACAGCTCAATTCACAAAAGCTAAGATATGGAATCAACCCAGTTGTCCATCAACTGTTGACTGGAAAAAGAAAATGTCATATAGATACACTATGGAATACTACTAAGCCATAAAAATAAATGAAATACTATTTTTTCCAGCAAAATAGAATTAACTGGCAAAGATTATAATTAATCAAATAAGCCAGACTCAAAAAGACAAATGCTATATGTTTCCTCTGATAGGTGGCAGTTAATTTAGAACACCAAAAAATGTATAAGAATGAAATGGATATTTTGGAATATTAGTGTTTTTTTTAGCTCTTATTTATACTTCTGTGGAACTCTGGTCTATCTACTTTTTACTTGTTGAATATTATGTTTAGTGGTGAATTAGGCTTATGATTCTAGAGCATATTAAAATTATGTCTATGCAAAAACTGATAAAAGGAAGGGGGGGAAGACAGGGATTGGGTGCAGGGGGAGATACAAAGTGTGTTCTCTTGGAAATGTACCTATTGAGTGTTAGAAATCTGTTCTCTTTATATTAATAAAAATAAATTTAAAAACCCCTAAAGTAAAATGTAGAGAATATCCTAAGTTTTGTAAGAGAAAAGTGCCAGGTCATTTTTTTTTTTTTTTTTTTTTGACAGGCAGAGTGGACAGTGAGAGAGAGAGAGACAGAGAGAAAGGTCTTCCTTTTGCTGTTGGTTCGTTCACCCTCCAATGGCCGCCGCGGCCAGGGCGCTGCGGCCAGTGCACCGCGCTGATCCGATGGCAGGAGCCAGCTACTTATCCTGGTCTCCCATGGGGTGTAGGGCCCAAGCACTTGGGCCATCCTCCACTGCACTCCCTGGCCACAGCAGAGAGCTGGCCTGGAAGAGGGGCAACCGGGACAGAATCCGACGCCCCAACCGGGACTAGAACCTGGTGTGCTGGCGCCGCAAGGCAGAGGATTAGCCTCGTGAGCCACGGCACCGGCCGCCAGGTCATTTTTAAAGGTACATTCATCAGACTGACAGAGAATTTCTCAATAGAAACTCTAAAGGGCAGGAAAGAATGGAGAGATACAATTCAAGTTCAAAAATAAAAGAAAGTTCTAAAATAAAAAAGAAAAAACTTGCAACCCAGAATAATTTACCCACTGATGCTCTCATTCATAAGTGAAGGTGAAGTAAAGTCCTTCAAGATAGGCAAAAATTGAAAGAATTTGTCACCACTTCATCAGCCTTACAAATAATACTTTAGAATGCACTATATACACGAACAGAAAAAGGCAATCAGCACCATGAAAAAATGTGAAGACAGAAAACTTCTTAGTAAAAGAAAGAAAGAGATTTAAAATAAACAGCAGGGCGCCATGGCTCAATTGGCTAATCCTCTGCCTGCGGTGCCAGCATCCCGGGTTCTAGTCCCGGTTGCTCTTCTTCCAGTCCAGCTCTCTGCTGTGGCCTGGGAAGGCAGTGGAGGATGGCCCAAGTGCTTGGGTCCCTGAAACCGCATGGGAGACCGGAGGCAGTACCCAGCTCCTGGCTTTGGATTGGCGTAGTGGCCATTAGGGGAGTGAACCAACAGAAGGAAGGCCTTTTTCTCTGTCTATCTCTCACTGTCTATAACTCTCTCTCTGTCTCTCTCTCTCACTGTCTAACTCTGCCTGGCAAAACAAATAAACAAACAACAGTGGGAATCTTTATGGAGAAATGGCAGGACAAAGCCATTATTTTCAATAATAATAATAACCTTGAATGTAAATGGGCTAAATTCCCCAGTATATATTGGATAAATGAATAAAAAACAAGAGCCAACTACATTTTGCTTAAACAAAAAATCAACAAAGAACAGAGCTAATCTACACCATAGACCAACTGAACCTCATAGATATCTACAGAATATTCCATCCCATGACTCCGGAATTTACATTCTTTTCATCAGTGCTAGAACATTTTCTAGGATAGTCCACATGGCCCTAGTAAGGCCATAGAACAAGTCTAAACATGTTCCTGAATAAACAGTGGTTCAAAAAGGAAGTAAAAAAAACCTTGAAATTAATGAAAATAAAGACATATATCAAAAGGTATGGGATACAGAAAAAGCAGTGTTAAGAAGAACGTTTATAGCAATCAAGTCCCTATGTCAAAAAATAGAAAGATTTCAAATACGTAATCTAATAGTGCATCTCAAGGGCCTAGAAAGCAAGAACAAACCAAACCCAGAATTAGTAGGAAGATATATATAAACTATAGAAGAAATAAATAAAAGTAAAAATAAAAAGGCATTATTCAAAAGATTAATGAAATGAAGAAATGATTTTTTTTGAAAAATATTGATCAACTATTGGCCCAACTAACCAAGAAAAAAGGGGAGAAGACTCAAACCAATAAAATAAGTGATGAGAAAGAAGATATTACAACTGATACAACAGAAATACAAAGAATCATTAGGAGCTACTATAAATAACTATATACCAACAAATTGGAGAATCTAGAACAAATATGCAGGTTTCCAGACACATGTAATTTACCAAAAATCAGGCATAAAGACAAAGAAAACCTGAATAGAACAATAACCAGGGATGGCTCAAAATATACAAATCAATAAATATGATATATCACATCAACAAATTTAGGATAAAAAACACATGATCATCTCAATAGACACAGAAAAAGCCTTTGATAAAATAGAACATCCTTTCATGATAAAAATGCAGTGGTGATTAATTTTATGTGCACCCAGATATTTGGTCAAACACAAGTCTAGCTGTTACTGTGAAGATTTTTTTAGATAAGAGTAAAATTCAAATTGGCAGAACTCAGTAACACAGGTCACCTTCTAAACGGTGAGTGGGCCTCATCCAATTAGTTGAAGACTTCTAAAAAGACTGAATTTCCCTAAAGAGAAGAAAATTCTGTCCTCAAAATGAAGCCTCAACATTATCCTTTCCCTGGGTCTCCAACCTGTGGTCTGTTCTGCAGGTTTTGGACTTGCCAGTCCTCATGACTGCATGAACCAATTCCATAAAGCAAATCTCCCCACACATATCCTATTGGCTTTTTCTCCAGATAACTCTGATTAACACAGGCATGATAGAAAAAAGAGCTACTACTTGATTTTTGATTAAAAGCCATAATAAAATAAACCAATTATGCATAAAATCATTTAACAATAGGGATATGTCCTGAGAAATGCACCATTAGAAGATTCTGTCCTTGTGTGAACATCAAAGTGTCCTTACACAACTAAAATTATTATGATGTTGCCAGGTGATATAATCTTGTGTATCCTCCATCATACAAGCAGTCTTTCATGAACTGAAATGTTGCGTTGTGTCACATGACTATATTTTAAAGGTGGCTCCATTTTGTTGTGGAAGATGAATTGACTCATAATTACATGAGATTTGCCACAAAATAACATATGTTTAAAGAGGCATTTCTGGAGGCCAGCGCCACAGCTCAATAGGCTAATCCTCCGCCTGCGGCACTGGCACACCGGGTTCTAGTCCTGGTTGGGGCGCCGGATTCTGTCCCGGTTGCTCCTCTTCCAGTCCAGCTCTCTGCTGTGGCCCGGGAAGGCAGTGGAGGATGGCCCAAGTGCTTGGGCCCGGCACCCGCATGGGAGACCAGGAGAAGCATCTGGCTCCCGGCTTCAGATCGGCGTGGTGCGCTGGCCACAGTGCGCTGGCCGCAGCGGCCATTGGGGGGTGAACCAATGGAAAAAGGAAGACCTTTCTCTCTGTCTCTCTCTCTCACTGACCACTCTGCCTGTCAAAAAAAAAAAAAAAAAAAAAGCATTTCTTTCGGGGCTGGTGTTATGGTATAGTGGGTAAAGGCACTGCCTACAATGCTGGCATCCCATATGGGTGCCGGTTTGAGACCGTCTGCTCCACTTCCGATCCAACTCTCTGCTATGGCCTGGAAAAGCAGTAGAAGATGGCCCAAGTCCTTGGGACCCTGCACCCATGTGGGAGACCCGAAAGAAGCTCCTGGCTCCTGGCTTCGGATCGGCGCAGCTCTGGCCATTGTGGCCATCTGGGGCGTGAGCTAGCAGATGAGACTTCTCTCTCTCTCTCTCTGCCTCTCCTCTCTCTGTGTTACTATGACTTTCAAGTAAAATAAATAAATCCTTAAAAACAAAAAAGAGACACTTCTTTCTCAGTCTACTCTGTTTCTATACTAAAAAAATTTTGAATGTAAGAGTAGAAAATAATATCGAGGGCCGGCGCCGTGGCTCACTAGGCTAATCCTCCACCTTGTGGCGCCGGCACACCAGGTTCTAGTCCCGGTCGGGGCACCGGATTCTGTCCCGGTTGCTCCTCTTCCAGGCCAGCTCTCTGCTGTGGCCAGGGAGTGCAGTGGAGGATGGCCCAAGTGCTTGGGCCCTGCACCCCATGGGAGACCAGGAGAAGCACCTGGCTCCCGGCTTCGGATCAGCGCGGTGTGCCGGCCACAGCACGCCGGCCGCAGTGGCCACTGGAGGGTGAACCAACGGCAAAGGAAGACCTTTCTCTCTGTCTCTCTCACTGTGTAACTCTGCCTGTCAAAAAAATATATATTGAAATGTGGGTGGTATCAATTGAAGAGGAGGACATAAGAAATTTTAACAAAACATTCAACACAGTATTTGCAGCTCAGGAAAAAGACACTGTGGTCACAACTGTGTCTTTTCCCAAAGCTACAAGGTTTACAAATGCCCTATTGTAGATTGATTCAGAAAAACTATTTCGCCAAAGTTAAGGTATTTATTTTATTGCTCAAAATAAATGACAGCTCATTCTTTGCAATTAATATGCTGAATATACTAAACAATCACACATATTAATTTTAAAGAGAATCAATATAGAATACTTGCATCACATAATACGATAAAATATGAAATAATAAAAGAAAAATCAAACTAAAGAAATTTCTGATTTGGGATTCTAAAACTAAGAATTTCTTAAAATATGGAAATTAAAATTTTATTTTACTAAAACTAGAAATTATTTTGACAGATAAAGGAAGCAAAAGAGGGCATGTTTTAACAAAGAAGAACACAAGCTTTGTAAAAAAGCCACATTTTACTTTTGATAATTCCTGTATCCCTTCCACTAAATTGAGAGAACAAACAGGATCACAGAATTTGAAAGCTTACAAGAACCTTAAACTACTTATTGCCAAACCCTTATCTTACTAAGGAAGAAAAGCAAACACCACGAAGTAACTTCCAACGTCATCAACTAACTTCTGATCCCATATAGGATGAAAATTGTAACTTCCCAGTGTTCAAACCACATTACTGCCCCTTCACTATCAACTGGGATCTTTGTCTTGTGTTCTCGTCTTGGTTCTTCTTTTGGTTTTCTTGGGGTACTTTCGGGTGTTATCCTCCAGTTACCCATGCTTGAGACGGAGAGATGGAGCATTCTCATGGTTCTGAAGCTCTACTCATTTGGTAAGAAATTTGGAAACAGTTTTCAGATATCTCTACCAGTGCTGTATGTAGACAGACAATTAGGCCAAAACCATCTAGAAATTGAAAGTATCAGGAGAAAATATATGGACAGTCAATATTTTATAAGACCTAGCATAAGGAATAAATCATACATATTTCAAATTATTAAAATAATCTGGTTTATGCTGTACTTATTTTCCTCTAGCAAATTTGTGTGTGTATACTCATACAATAGCAATATTTGTAATTCTATAGAAATAACTGTGTTTTTATGATAAGTGATCTTAGATTCTTCAAATTATACCAGTATTTAAAAATATTTTCATCACATTATCTTTAGGTTAAACATTTATCCTACAAATATTTATTACTGAAAAGTTATAATTAATTTTGTTGTATCTAGTGGGGATGAAAAATCTATGAAAATTCCAACTTTTTTAGATATATGGAAATTTTTTGGAATCTGTAGGAAGTATTCATGTGTGATAAATAATTGTAATCCACTCAGTTAGCAACTATGTTTTGAATATCAACTATGTGCTAGGCACTGTTCTAGGACCCAAGAACACAAAAATCCTGGCTGTCATGGAGCTCATAAGATTTACTGGTCAAAGTCAACAAAAGTGACTTTCTGGGAAACATATCTACATAAGAAATCAATGTGGCCGGCGCCGCGGCTCACTAGGCTAATCCTCCGCCTAGCGGCGCCGGCACACCGGGTTCTAGTCCCGGTCGGGGCGCCGGATTCTGTCCCGGTTGCCCCTCTTCCAGGCCAGCTCTCTGCTGTGGCCCGGGAGTGCAGTGGAGGATGGCCCAGGTGCTTGGGCCCTGCACCCCATGGGAGACCAGGAAAAGCACCTGGCTCCTGGCTCCTGCCATCGGATCAGCGCGGTGCGCCGGTCGCATCGCGCTGGCCGCGGCGGCCATTGGAGGGTGAACCAACGGCAAAGGAAGACCTTTCTCTCTGTCTCTCTCTCTCACTGTCCACTCTGCCTGTCAAAAAAAAAAAAAAATTAAAAAAAAAAAAAAAGAAATCAATGTACAATGCCTTAGATTCAGAATCATTATTTCCCTAACTGGCAGGTCCCCCAAACAACATTGGTAAGCCAATACGCAGGGAGAAATAAACTAAATTTTACCCCATCCATACCTGTTAATTCTTACACTTGTAACAGAAAAAGTAGATGTCAGGAATGTCACACAAAAACATAAATTCAAACATTAACAATGCATGAATGGTATTTAGGAAATGCTTTTTCTTTCTGCAATTAGAAAATGCAGTTTTCGGCCAGCGCCGCGGCTCACTAGGCTAATCCTCCACCTTGTGGCGCCGGCAAACCGGGTTCTAGTCCCGGTCGGGGCGCCGGATTCTGTCCCGGTTGCCCCTCTTCCAGGCCAGCTCTCTGCTGTGGCCAGGGAGTGCAGTGGAGGATGGCCCAAGTGCTTGGGCCCTGCACCCCATGGGAGACCAGGAGAAGCACCTGGCTCCTGCTATCGGATCGGCACGGTGCACTGGTTGCAGCACACCGGCCACGGCGGCCATTGGAGGGTGAACCAACGGCAAAAAGGAAGACCTTTCTCTCTGTCTCTCTCTCTCACTGTCCACTCCTGCCTGTCAAAAAAAAAAAAAAAATGCAGTTTTCAACATGGTTCCTCACACAGAAACACCAGAAAGTAAAAGGTCTTTCATAAGTCCCATTTCCAGAACTTGGATCAGGTTCAGTCTTGCCTCTAAGGAGACATTGAACACGAGCAGTGCATGACAATCTCAGTAATAGAAATGGACAACAGAAAAATTAAGATCTTTCCAACTGAGTAGCAACTGGATGAATGTTTGGAGAAATGTTTAAGTTTCCTCTCCAAGAAACTCCCTATGCAAATAAAAATTCTGATCTCATATATTGAATGAAGATAGCTGTGATTTGCCTTGAAATGTATAATCATAAAGGACCAAGAAGAAAGATGATATCTTTACTCACACAGTGTTTTCCTCCCTCTTCTGTTTCCTCATCCTCAGCTTTTTTCTTACCATGAGACCTGAAAAGCCAGAGGGATGTATGGAGGTAATATAATCCACTTTAAGCCAGGGCCTCCCAAGCTCATTAAGAAAGATAAGAAGCCAGTTTCATTGTTATCTTGCTCCGAGACAGCCACATGAACTTCTCTGTGCAAGCCATGGCACTATTTAAGAGCTCACCAAATGGAGACAATGAGCCTTGTATTTAACTTAAATTTCCAATTCTGTTTATGAAGACATGAAATAGCTGGTTCTAATGCTTCAAATAAAAACTAAGTCACGTGGCTAGCTTGAAGCTGAATAATCTTGCTTTTTTTAAAATGTCCTTATTGTGTAATATATGTGTAATATATGCTATCCCTGATCAGCGACAACTGAGCACCAAAGGGGAAACCTGTTGAAGTGAAATGGACACTAGGAGAAACAGTGACTTGATCAGCTCTTGTCCTGACTGTTGATGTACAATGTAATACTTTATCCCTTTTAGTATTTTTTTGTTCTAGTACTATTGGTTGAACTCTGTAATTAACACACAATTATTCTTAGGTATTTAAATTTTAACTGAAAAGTGATCCCTGTTAAATATAAGAGTGGGAATAAGAGAGGGAGGAGATGTACAATTTGGGACATGCTAAATCGGACTTGCCCCAAATGCTGGAGTTAGAATTGTGCCAGGGGATTCCAAAACAATCCCATCAAGGTGGCATGTACCAATGCCATCTCACTAGTCCAAGTGATCAATTTCAGTTCACCATTGATCACATTGATAGGTCTAAGAGTCAAAGGGATCACACAAACAAGACTAGTGTCTGCTAATACTAACTGATAGAATCAAAAAGGGAGAGAACAATCCAACATGGAAAGTGGGATACACAGCAGACTCATAGAATGGTAGATGTCCTAAACAGCACTCTGGCCTCAGAATCAGCCCTTAAGGCATATGGATATGGCTGAAGAGACCATGAGAGTATTTGAGGCATGGAAAGCCAAGACACTCTGGAAAAAAAAAAGACCTAAATGAAAGATCTCTGTGAGTAAGATACCAGTGGAAAGAATGGGCCATCAAAGAAGGAGGTACCTTTCTCTGAAGGGAGGAGAGAACTTCCACTTTGACTATGACCCTGTCAGAATAAGATCAAAGTTGGCAAACTCAAAAGGCTTCCATAGCCTTGGCAACTCATGACTAGAGCCTAGGGAGGTTACTGACGCCATAAACAAGCGTGTCAAATTGTTAAGTCAACAACAGGAGTCACTGTGTACTTCCTTCTCATGTGGGATCTGTCCTTAATGTGTTGTCCAATGTGAAGTAATGCTATAACTAGTAGTGAAACAGTATTTTACACTTTGTGTTTCTGTGTGGGTGCAAACTGATGAAATCTTTACTTAATATATACTAAATCCATCTTCTGTATATAAAGATAATTGAAAATGAATCTTGATGTGAATGGAATGGGAGAGGGAGCGGGAGATGGGAGGGGTGTGAGTGGGAGGGAAGTTACTGGGGGGAAAGCCATTGTAATCCATAAACTGTACTTTGGAAATTTATATATACTAAATAAAAGTTAAAAAAAAGAAACACTGGCCGGCGCCGCGGCTCACTAGGCTAATCCTCCGCCTAGTGGCGCCGGCACACCGGGTTCTAGTCCCGGTCGGGGCGCCGGATTCTGTCCCAGTTGCCCCTCTTCCAGGCCAGCTCTCTGCTGTGGCCAGGGAGTGCAGTGGAGGATGGCCCAGGTTCTTGGGCCCTGCACCCCATGGGAGACCAGGAAAAGCACCTGGCTCCTGGCTCCTGCCATCGGATCAGCGTGGTGCGCCGGCCGCAGCGCGCCAGCCGCGGCGGCCATTGGAGGGTGAACCAACGGCAAAGGAAGACCTTTCTCTCTGTCTCTCTCTCTCACTGTCCACTCTGCCTGTCAACAAACAAACAAACAAACAAACAAAAAACAAACAAACAAACACCAAAAGTTAGAAGAGTACTGTAACAAACATACTAGCAACCTATCACTTGGTATAAAAATTTTACATTACAATATACTAGAATATTTCTGTAGCTTTTTTCTCTCTTGATGCACTTCTTTTTCTTTTTCCCCAGTATAAACACAATCCTGATTGCATGCTTACTGTTTACATACATGTTTTCATTCTTAGATTTGTATATACATGATAAAAAAGGAAACAACAGATTTTTAAATGTTTTTAAATCATTAAAAATTGTGTCACAGTAAGCATGTCTTTCTACAACTTTACTTTGTTCTCTGAAAGCACTGTTTTGGGATTTGTCATTGAGCCAAACTGCTCTGCAAAGTGGTGGAAACTATTTATACAACTCATCCTTCTTTATAATTTTCCAGTTTTTTAATTCCATTGAGGTTAATAGGAATGTTAGGGTAAGGAATCAGAACTGAAAAAAAAAATAAATAACCTTTCCCTTTTATTTTTTCTTTCTTGATTCAACTAATTTGGAGGTGAGGGGAAAGGGGTAAAAGAAAGATGGCTATGAAGTGGTGGCCATTCCTAGGGAGTACTCAGTTTCCTGTCGACCTGGTATCAATATTGAAATAAAAGCAAACCATGACTAAGAACCCTATAATTGAAAGTTATTCTGAAACATCACTGAGTTCAGTAGTCTATGTTTAGATTCAACATCTTAGGACAATCAATGATGATATTTGTTACCAAATAGTTGCCAACCTAACATCAGACAAAATAGACTTTAACATAAAAACTTTAACATAAAAAACATAAAGAATGGCACTGTGTAATGAATAAGAGATCAATTTAACAGGAAAATGTGACTATAATAAATGTATATGCACCCAATTATAAGGTACCTGGCTATTTAAAAGAAATGTTAATGGGTCTAAAGGGAGACATACTCTCTAATACAATAGTAACAGAGGACTTCAACATCACACTTTCATCAATGGACAGACCAACTAGACAGAATATCAACAAGGAAGCAACAGAGCTAATCAACATTATGGATCAAATGGACCTAACCGATATACTGATATCTACAGAACTTTTCATCCCACACTTGCAGAATACACATTCTTCTCATCAATACGTAGAACTTTCTCTAGGGTAGATCATAAGCTAGGCCATAAAGCAAATATCAGCAAATTCAAAAAATCAAAATCATACCATGCATACTCTCTGCCCATAATCTATTTAAGCTGGACATCAACAACTAAAAGAATTTCTAGAACATATGCAAACACATAGAGACTGAACAACATGCTCTTAAATGAATAGTAGGACATAGGAGAAATCAAAAATTTGCTGGAAAAGAATGAAGACTACATCACATCAAAACTTATGGGATACAGCAAAAGCAGTGTTGAGAGGAAGTTTATAGCAATTTGTACCTACATAAAAAATTGGAAATGTACCAAATAAATGAGCTATCCATGTATCTCAAGGGCCTAGAAATCCACCAACAAACCAAATCCCAAATTAGTAGGAGGAAAGAAGTAATTAAAATTAGAGAAGAAATCAACAAAAAAATACAAAAGATCAGTGAAATGAAGAGCTAGAGTTTTGAAAAAAAATAAACAAAATTGATACATCATTGGCCAGCTACAAAAAAAAAAAAAAAAGACCAAAATCAATCAAATCAGAGAGGAAAAAGGAAATATAACAACAGATACCACAGATATAAAAAGAATCATCAGGAATTACTCAAAGAGCTGTATTCTAACAAATTGGGAAACCTAGAAGAAATGGATAGATTCCTAGACAAATACACTCTACCAAAATTGATGCAGAAAAACATAAAAATCTTAACCAGAACAATAAACAAAATAGAGATTGAATCAGTAATAAAGACCCTCCCAACAAAGAGAAGCCCAGAACTAGGGGGATTTCACTGCTAAATTCTATCAGGCATTTTTTAAAAAGATTTATTTATTTATTTGAAAGTCAGAGTTACACAGAGAGAAGGAGAGACAGAAAGAGAGAGAGAGATGTCTTCCATTTGCTGGTTTACTCCCCAATTGCTGCAATGGCTGGAGCTGTGCTGACCCAAAGCCAGGAGCCAGGAGCTTCTTCCAGGTCTCCCACGTGATTGCAGGGGCCCAAGGACATGGGCCATCTTCTACCACTTTCCCAGGCCATAGTAGAGAGTTGGATTGGAAATGGATTAGCCGGGACTCAAACTGGTACCCATATGGGATGCCAGCACCACAGGCAGCAGCTTTTCCCACTATGCCACAGTGCCAGCTCCTCTACCAGACATTTAAATAAGGACTAATTCCAATTACTCTCAAGCTATTCAGAACAATTGAAAGGGAAGAACTCCTCCCAAAATCCTTGTATGAAATCTAAGTCACCTTAATTCCTAACCAAGAAAAATATACAACAGAAAAAGAGAATTGTAGAACAGTATCCCTGATGCACATGGATGCAAAAATCGTCAACAAAATATGAGCTAATAAAATACAACAGATCAGAAAGATCATTTACTCAGACAAAGTGGGATTTATCCCTAATACGCAGGAATGGTTCAGAATTCACAAGCCAATAAATCTGATACATCACATTAACAAGCTGAAGAACAAAAACCATATGGTTATCTCACTAGATGCAGAGAAAGCATTTGATAAAATACAACATTCTTTTGTGATGAAAACCTTAAGCAGGTTGAATATAGAAGGAACATTCCTCAACACAATCAAGGCAATTTATTACACAGCCATGGCCTGCATCCTATTGAATGGGGAAAAGCTAGAAGCACTACCACCAATATCCAGAACCAAACAAGGATGCCCATTCTCAATAACAGTATTCAATATAGGGGCTGGCACCTTGGCGAACTAGGTTAATCCTTCGCCTCTGTGGCACCGGCATCCTATATGGGCGCCAGTTCTAGTATTGGTTGCTCGTCTTCCAGTCCAGCTCTCTGCTGTGGCCTGGAAAAGCAGTAGAGGATGGCCCAAGTGCTTGGACCCCTGCACCCACATGGGAGACCAGGAAGAAGCACCTGGCTCCTGGCTTTGGATTGGCGCAGTTCCAGCTGTTG